AGTTTTTCGGATTTTATTCTTAGTTGGATTTGTTTTTTTTTTGTTTACGAAAATTGGTTTTTATTTCAATCAAAAAAGGTCTTTAGTGATTTTCTCTAATTTTGACTATTTTTGAGCCTGAGAGTGTAATTTTCAATGTTGCGAAATTTATTATTTTTTGGGATTGCCAGGTGCAATAACTAATGTTTTAGCCGCAAAGCGGTTATTAACAATTAATTAGCAATGCTCTAAATAGGACCAAGCCAAAAATACTCTCAGGATTATTTTAGAGAAAAGTATACATATATAAGAGCTTTAATTTAGATATTTGGCGTTCTTAAAAATAATAATTTTTAACCGAATTTTTAAGCATTGGATATGGCTAGTTTTAGGGTTCTTTGACCTTGAATTGCTCATAACCCGAAAACGAACAACTTTAGAGAGAAGTTATCCAGAAACTTTATGTTCAGAATGATCAAAATGCATAACAATAATTAATAATAATACTTTCTCCCAGACTAACGGAAACTGAACAACTATTCTCTACCCATATATAAGATTTATAATAAAAAGCAGTGCAAAGTGCCATCAATTACACTGATAAACACAGGATTTGTGACATGACAATTTTTGGGTATCTTATGTATTTTGAGACTCTTAAATCAAATCTAAAAACAGAATTTTTCACCCACAGATCTTCGGTAGCATCTACTTTTATGAATTACAATACGTAACATCTCATATTGCTGCATTTCTCGGCGTTTATGCGATGCAGCACCTATACTAAGTGACATATAAATCCGAACACCCAGTTTAAATGGTTTTATTTTAATAAAAGTTGGTGAATGTATTTATCTTACTGTAAATAACAAGTGAAAAAATTTTCAGCCTTATCAGTTGGACATTCCGGTTTTTATACTGCTTTTTTTTAATTCACTAACGCTCTAAAAATGAATATTTCAGCCGCAGTAAAGAATCAACGTTGGCGGATTTTGGTTCTTGACATCCTTTACGATCGGTTACGATGCCTAGAGTACGGAGACCTGTACGATTTCGTCAACTTAGTGAGTTTGATAGGGGCCGTATAGTGGACTTTCTTTTCGGGCAATTGCAGTTAGAGTGCAAAGAAGTGTAGACACTGTGGTTAGGTGTTGTCAGGCATGGCTTCGAGAAGGCCGTACGCAAAGAGCAAGGAGCACTGGACGCCGCCGTAGAACAACAGACCGTGAAGATCGCCGCCTAAGATTATTGGCCTTAAGGGACCGTTTCTCCACTACCAGGTCCATTGCAAATGAATGGTTTGCAGAACACGGAAGACCTATTGGTATGCGAAGTGTATACCGACGAATGAGAAGTTTTGGCTTGTTTTCATACCGGCCACACTGGGTCCTCCCTTTAACTCGAGAACACCGACGTAATCGCCTTGAGTGGTGCAGACAACGGTCACTCTGGGATCAGGGATGGAACAGTATTGTCTTTAGTGACGAGTCTCGATTTTGTTTAAGCATGCACGATGGTCGTGCCAGAGTTAGAAGGCGACGTGGTGAAAGGAGGAATCCACAGTTTTTTGTTGAAAGACATGTTCATCACACTGTTAGGCGTTATGGTTTGGGGTGCTATAGCTTATGGTTCCAGGTCACCTTTAATCTTCATCAGAGGTAACATGAACGCGCAGCGTTATATCCACGAAGTTCTAGAACCCCATCTTTCACCCTATCTTGACACCCTGGCAGATCCAACTTTCCAACAAGATAATGCCCGACCACATGTTGCAAGAGTCACAATAGACTTCTTTCAACATAATGATGTCACATTGTTACCATGGCCACCAAGATCTCCCGACTTATCCCCAATTGAGCACGTGTGGGATATGATGGGCAGGAGATTGCTCAATTTGCAACGTCCTCCTCAGATTCTAGAAGCACTTCGAGAGGAGTTGGTGGTTTCCTGGAATGAGATACCACAGGAGGACATTGACCACCTGATCAGAAGCATGCCTAGGCGCGTTAGGAGAATGCGTAGCACATCAGGGTGCATCCACACATTATTAAAGGTCAAAGGGCTTTAAAGCAGTGCAATCATTTTGAAATTTTTATCATTTACTTATTATGCTTCATTAAGTACTTAAACTGGGTGTTCGGATTTATATGTCACATAGTATATATAATGTTAGGACCTGTCTATTCCTGTTTATTATATGCGAGCTCTATGTTTAGAGAGCATATTGCGTTTATTAGTAGAGTAATAGCAGCCGAGTTAGTTACGTTTTCTGTGTTGAAGAGTACTGAGACGATCCGAGTACTGTTAATTTTTGTTAAAACGGTGTATTGTTTTTAGTTTATTGTGATCGAGACTAGCTTTGTGGACAATGCCTAGAAATTGTGTAAATAGTGCGAACAGTTTTTGTTATGTGTGCGGAGAGCTAACTTTTAAATCCCAAAAACGTACTTTTACTCTCTTTGTGAACTTTATTTGGCGACCCACATAAACTATGGGCCCCTCATATATGTTGTAAGACTCGTGTAACGTTGTTAACAGGGTGGTTAAGAGGCGACAATCGTAAAATGCCCTTTACGGTACCAATGGTTTGGAGAGAATCGAGAGACCATACCACTGATTGCTATTTTTGCCTCACAAATATTAAAAGTATCGGACCAAAATCGAAACATTCTGTTAAGTATTTTAATTTAACATCAGCTTTGCGGCCCGTTAAGCATGTTGATGAACTGACCCAGTTCCACCAGAATCTTGATCTTTGGATGAAAAAGTCCACCGATCTTGGAAGTGATGGCACAGAAAGCGTAAACATTTCCGATCCTTCGTTTGACCTGCCGCATTTGATCACACAGGGCGAACTTAATGACTTAGTTAGAGAATTAAATCTGTCAAAATCCCAGTCAGAACTTTAAGCGTCAAGATTAAAGGGTGATATTAAGATTACTTTTTACGGAAAACGGCAACAAGACGTCACACACTGTTTCCGTCAAGAAAGGGTGTTGATATATTGCTCCGATATCAACAATTTGTTTGACGCGTTAGGACAGAAACATGATCCAAATGATTGGCGCCTGCCTGTTCATTGATTCCTCTAAGCTTAGTTTAAAAGCGGTATTGGTACACAACGGTAATAAATATCCGTCTGTACCTACAGCGCACGCGGTTCTATGAAGGAATCGTATGAAAATATGCGACTTTTGTTAGAGCATATCCGATATAATGAATATGGATGGGCCATGTCACCACTGTGGCTGCTAGGTGCCACCGATTGTGGTGGTATATTAAATAAGGTCTATCTTTAATCCATCGCAGTCCGCAGCGATTGATTTTGGTAACAGATGACACTTTGTGCTGTCTTATTTCGATAGACATCCTGTATAGAACGTAGTTGCTCAACTTTTGTTCGTTGTTCTACCTGAAACCAAGCCTAGACCATACTGATGAGTTGCCAAATAGCACTAAACAGCTGTCCATGATTGACCGTCTGTATTCATACGTACAAAAGCTATATTAATACTTCTTTCAATTTCGAGTAGACCGTATCTACTATACCACCACAATCGGTGGCATCTAGCGGCCACAGTGGTGACCCGCCCGTCAAATGCGAACTGGGATACAGTCAATGTTGCCAGATATATTCGAACTGTTTTCGGTAGATTTACGAAAAATCGCTAGATCGTGAAATGTTTCGGTGGAAGGTAAAACAAGAAGCAAAAAATTGGGGCTAGTTGAAAAGTGAAGAGGGACACACGTTGCTCGAATTCCACTCGGTTTTGCAAATCGAAGAGCGCAGGGAGGGGGGAGGATAGCATCAAAAGCTGAAATGCTGCTGTTTGAAAATCTGAAGAACGAATTTTTTTATATTCCGGAAAAAAATTGTTAGGAATTCTTTTTCACCTCGCCTATGTATAGTACTTGCAAAATAGAAGCAGGCCAGGTTACTTCCCTGTCTGTCGACTCGGAACAAAAAAAAAACACCCCTGTACTGAACACCACCACGAAACGACTTCCTTGACTCTCACATTACCCGTTAATCCACCAGTCCGCAGCAATAATTTGTTTTCGTTCAAAGCGAATATTAAAATGATCATTCATCCCCGTGCATCCACCCCCAGCGTATGCAAATTCAGCCCCGGAGGATCATGACCGCTTCAGCGACAAATTTTCTCGAAAACGTCAAGCGACATCGCAATCTATCATCTGAGGGGTGTGAGACGGCAGATTGATTATGGGGATCGGAGGGATGCCTTGCTGGTTAATAATTATCGGACTGCATTTATTTATACCAAAAGAGTCATGAGGAGCTTGAAGAATCTTAGGATAGCAGTACTGGGAAAAGCCTCCTAAGGTAGATTGTTTCATATTCTCAATATCCTAGAGACAAAGGAGCGGTCATATCGGCCAGTTCTGGTCTATGAATGCAGAAATTGGAAACACAAAGTATCGATAATGAATGAAAATTACTATTACTGAATACCTGAAGATAGGCGGCGATCTAGCTCTCTTCTACCGCTATGTCAACGGGCTTTGCTCCTCAGAGCAATCCTCCATGCTGCCGCCGCGCGATGAGCATTCCAAGCAAACCCGTCTGGCTGCGGTCTCTAATCCTACTTCGTACATTCAGAACTGGTCGGTACGACCGTTCCTTTGCCATTGAGATGTCGAGATTGTGTAACAATCTGCCTGAGAAGTCTTTTCCAGTTCTAACTAACCTTAGATAGCTCAAAAAGTGGCTTTAAGATCTTTGTAGTATGTTCTAACATTAACAGCGTTTATTCTTAAAATTTCCATCGACGTGTCATGCTGACTCGCGTTTTTCTAGCCAGCATAAAAAAATTTCATAAAGCATTAAAAAGTATGCAATCAATTTCGGTCGTGACTTGCAAAATTTAAATTCCGAGAAAGCATCTCGCAAAATTGTTTTCCTGTCAATAATACAACTAAATTTTGATTTTGAAGAGCTTGCGGTTTGTCGCAATTTGATATAGGAATTTTGTTTCCGTTCTGATTGAAGAAATGCTTACCCGTTGGAGATTTATTTGAGTCTTCTAGCGTAGATTTCTTGTTAAAGTCATCAATGAGGGTACACTATTAAGATTTAAGGTTTGCTTAGATTTGTAAAGCGTTACTCAGACAATTTGATTAACGCCTTTTTTAAGCGAAACATTGGCATTAATGGCAACAGATCTTACTCTATTATACTGAGCGATAGAAAAAGGTAAACAGATACGAATATTTATTAGAACAGGTGATAAAGTGGTCAGGTTCACCCAGTATACGAGCCCCTTCCCACTTCAGTTGGCCCACTTCAAGATTTGTGCCAAAATATTCCTTCCATCACTGGTAAAAGCGATTCTTCTAAAATTGCCAATTATTTGTTTGTATCCACATTTTCTTCAATAAAATAAAGTTTTCCTACTCCTTTTGATGACATACTGCCCCAGACCATAATGGGTGCTGGAAATTTCACTTTTCTCTTCAGACAGTCAACATGGAATGTTTAATTTTTGTGCGAATAACTCTACTGCGACTGTCACCATCACAAACTTGTCTATGTTCTTTAGCCCATCTAAGCCGATTTTTGTTTTTCATTGGAGTTAATAGTGACTTTTCTTTGGCCTATAAACAAGTTGTGCAACTTTCGGGTTTTTACTTCACTTTTTTTTATAAGAAAACTTACCTTGCAAGTGCTAAATCCCAGTTTGTGGGCCTCTCTATGAGTTGTGGACCTCGAAATTCTCCTTCCAGCAGCGTCACTCCACAGAGCACATAATTGTAAATAATTGGCAGGCCTGTTTTTCACGATTATTCTTCTTAATGCTATTCGGTCGGCATTTGTGATATTACTATATTTTCTAACAATATTTCTCACACTGTACCGCGATAAGTCTAACAAAGTTACAATTTCTGAGTTTGATTTCCCAGAATTAAAAAGTTTAATTATCAGTAACCGAATTTTCTCACTAATAACCTTTCCTCTACCCATTTTGAAAAGCTTAACTACCCAAAACTATTTTAAACGTATTCTGACAGCAGTGATTAATAAAAGCAATTGTCATGGCTTTTATTTTTCACAGCCACCTATGCGTTATAGACTTATTTTGCAATGAAATGAAAATAGGTTGATATGCTGTAATTGCAACATGTGTTATTTTTATGCTACAAATTTGATTAGGGAGTGATAAAGTTGGAGTTTTCTACTATATATTACCAAAATATTCATTGTCACCCTGATACATTTTTATTATTTGCGTTTGATAAGAAAAAACTAAGATTTCAATAGTTGGGCCAACTGAAGTGGGGAGGGGCTCGTATATCAACAGTGAAACGTATGCTCAATCTGAACAAACCTTACATCTTCCTCACAACCACTATCAACGTCTACATCTGAAAAGTCAGTTTTATTGTCTAATAAGCACCTCACAGAAAGTTTAGTCTTCTTTCGATGAGTTTCATAAACTTCCACATCACTTTTTTTGCGTTTTCGTCCCATTTCGTCATATCATTTTCTTCGAAACCACTGGTGTTTGAGAGATAACATAAACTTTGTTTTTAATTCCTGAAGTAATATCAATTTGTGTGGGGATAATTGGTAACTGAGGATACATACAAAAAATTTACCTCACAGAATTTTGAGTATCGAGAAAAAAAATAACTATGTCCGTTGATGAGTACGGGCTCCAAAAATGAACATGCTACAAGTAGAATTGTTTACCTAAATAGAGTCGAATATCAAGTATTGATGGGATATTACAGAGTATTGCCAAAGAGATTTAAAGGAATAGGAAAACAATTACCTACATAGCAAGAATGTAAAAATAAGAGTCGTCTTTTTAAAGCCATATTTGTTATGCCTGAAAAAGTGTTTCTTGGTGTTTTTCGTTATTTTCATGCTCTAAGTAGAGAGACTTGCTGACATCACTGACAAAATGCTTTAGAAACGACTTGCTAATAATAATAATCGTCTTTATCACTATTATCTACAAGAGGCGAGATTTAGCGTAAAGCTATTTTTACACCTAGATCTAATATACTGAAAGATTTTAAAATGAAAGAATTTAAATAAACAAATAAAATAAATGTACCTTTCACTTCAAACTTACTTATTTCACTTATTGACCTGTTATAATGCCCTAGTAATTTATATGTGTCTATCGTACAAATATTGCTTACAACCTACTCTAAATTTTGGTGCAGGTAACTGTTTAAGTTCTATAGGAAGTTAGTTGAAATTCGTAATTTATTGTTACGTAAAACTTCTATGAAAAGGGCTTGTTGAGTGGGAAGGCAAGTCTCGAGATACTGTAAGGTATGAACGTTTTATTTAAAATGTATTTTGTCCTCAAGATATACTTTGGAGATATGGAATCGTTGATCAATTTACGTACAAAAATCGTGATACCTTGAAATTTTTAACCAATACATCCGTATTTTTTTCAGATGTGAGGTCATATTTTCTGAGTTCATTTAAAAACAATGCATTTGCGTTTACCAATATTTGTCAATATCTCAAACTATTTTTTAGAAGTGTAAGGTGTTATGGAAACAAACGTCTGCGACATCAAGGATGTTTCTCAACGACCAGCTAGAGCATCCTGCATACGAAATTTGCTTTACAGTAACTGGTTTCAAAAACAAAAAAGTCACTTCCGAACGTAAACACTGAATTTTTACTGATCAGACATTCTGATGCTAACCTAGTTCCACCCACCCGTGGTAAACTGACTTGGTGGTCATAAGGAAATGAAGACGTTCAAAAAAACAAAACAAAACACATCATCGTCCGTTGGTTGGTTCGCGTTTTTATCACGACGCGATATCTAAAAACGGAACGTTCGCCATTAACGTCATTCGAATATTTAGATTCCTTCCTAGGTAGGAGTTTACCTGGTTATACTAGGCGGTGTAGAAAATGGAACGCCAGGAAATAGTCCAAACGCTACTTTGCGCGCAGAAAAAATGTAGATATCACAATGTCCTTATTAGAATCTTATTTACAGATAACGATCTTTTTGCTATGCAGCATCGTCGGGAGTACCACAGGGCTCGACACTGGGACCATTGCTCTTTTCGCTTTTTATTAATGATACAAGTACCAATATTGATTGTGGATGACTGACATTTGCGATGACCTAAATTGTACTCTGGAATCAACAGCGTTACTGATTGTGAGTATCTGCAATGTCAGTTATCAAATTTGGAAAACTGGTGCTTGTTGAATAAACTACACCTGAATATTACCAAATGCAAAGTGATAATGCTCGGTTTAACACTTATTTATCCTTTGAGTAAAAGAAGAGAACAGTTCAGTGACTTTCCTCTTACACGGTAAAGTAGTATCTTCAGAGTTACTATCGCAGCTCCAATTTCTAACTTCTAGGTCATGTACTAGATTAAATGCATTGTTTTTTGAACTCGTTCAAGCACCAACTTGACTCTAAAATCACCGATAAGAGTCATAACTGAATTACAACAGCATATGCAATTATTGCGACATTTTGTTTGGGTTCTCCCCCAGAACTCAAGGGGGCCTGAAATAACTGTATGCAACATACACTTTTCTAGGTACGTAGAATAAACTAATATTTCGAAAATCCATGGTTTGGGGTGTCTAAACTTTCTATTTGGCCAAAAACGCACGCTACTGATTTTTTCAAAGCTATATTGATTTTGCTTGAAAAACATCTTTTGTTTCTTTGTTTTGTTTGTTAAAGGAAGTGCTAGCTCGAATACTATGAAAATTCGAAAATTTTTGTGAAGAAAATCGGTAGTCAAGTTTGGTTTTCTCCGACAAGCAGTATATCTAAATATCTCGGTCCGTAGGAATTTATGTTGTTATTTTATATTTTCATCTACTTGAATTGCTAAGAAGGTTGCCACGGAGAATAGAAAATGTGTAATATTTTCAAAGGCTACCGCAAAGTGTGCTTTTTACCATCTATCGGTGTCTTAGCCATTTTGTAAAAATAGTTGTAATTATTTATTTGCGAACACGACATTGCAGACGATAAAATGAGCCTTCACGCTTTGCCGGGTTTTGAAATACAAAATAGTATATTGGATTTTGCAAAGAGGGCATTAATATTGAACACCTTTCTTCGCGGTGGTCAGGTACTATTTTTAACGTCTTATTTTATTTAACCCGTTTAGATATGGTAAGCGATTCCGTCTACTGAAGTAATGTTTATTGTACAGGATATTACACAAAATGTTGTCAAGCGGATTGTAACATGAAAAAAGTTCATGCAAGCTTTGTTCAGCAAATGCTTCCCATACCTCAGAGCGTTTAAACTATTTGAAAATGAGAGAGAAAAGATTGAGTAGAATCTCCTGTCTTTGTCGGACATTAGAGAGTTTGTATTGCAACAGAAACATCAAATCGTCAAGCCTTCAGTTACGGTGTTTGCGATAACGATAGCAAATAAGGTTGTTTGGAAAACCGCGGTAATTTGAAAGCACTGAGTATTGGTAGTCATGATAGGTTGTTTATTCTTTCATTTTGACGTGAAGCTAACCCAAAAATTACAAACCCAATTAGGATAATTGAATAATATTTAGAACACTGCCTTATCCTTGCATTTATTTTTATGACCCATATTTTTATTATGTTTTAACCAATATGCTTTTCTAACTTGACATTATTTAAAAAAGTTTACACAGAAAAAAATCTCAAGTGCCTTGGAAAACAATAAATGGAGGTTTGACATTATTTTGCGCGTTAGTTTTTATAGAAAAGAACTACTCACGTAATTTTTTTAAACGTGTGGATGAGTATTGTTGGTGATAATTTAAGTGGTCCATTCTTTTTACGCTTTAGGTAGGCGAATCTTACATAGCGTTTCACAAGAATCGCCAGTACTGCTAGAAGAAGTTCCTCTAAATGTACGTAACCAAATAGCTTTTCTGCTCGTCTTCATTTTATTTTACCTGTCGGAACTCATCTAAATAACATCTTTGGTAAAAATTGGGTCGAAAGAGGTGGACCAACTCACTGGCCACTTCGCAGCCCTTACTTAAGTCCAATATTTTATTTTTATTTATGGGGATACTTTAACACGATGTTTTACGCTACTCACATAGAAGCAATAGAACATACAACATTTGTTGTAGTGTATTTTATCCTGTTGGAAAAGTTGCAATAACGCTTTTTCCCAGATATTATGTTAATTTTTTGTTTTCCAAGGCACTTGTGAGTTTTTTAGCTGAAATTAATGATCCAATTTTGTCCAGTGGCATGCGAAAAGACGGTTTTTATTTTTTTCTCGAAAACGAAGTGAGATACGGAAAAAATACAAGAGACAAAGAATTTTTATTTTTAGATGCTTAATCAAACAACAAATATCAAGGTTACAAAGAAGGCAGTGACGTACATTTTTTTGCCAATAATATTCGCTAAGGTGCCCCCCGGGACGCTACTGGACTTAATATTATCAATCTATTTCATTACAACAAATAGTATTGCCAAATTCCAACACAATCGAGTAAATATTTTTTAACATATTAATAAAAATTTTTTTTTTAAAATTTATCGCCTTGTATATTTTTTTCATATTTTTGAACACGGAATAACCCTCTAAAACATCTCCGTCTATTTTTCAAATTCCCTGCATAATGTCAAAAAACCGACATAATGTCACTTTTACCGCCGTTAGGTGCATTTCAACGTGTATGGCTACATTCAAATGGACGAAACGGGATGTCTTTGTGTCCCTTTTTCCCCGCCACTGATCCCATTATTTTCCGGCCGTCTAGCGCCATACATCATCCTCTGACGCCTCGTAATAGTATGATAATGTGTACATACTCGACGGTGGCTGGCAATTTTTGCTAAGCAGATTACAATATCAATCTCTCTCTCCCTCTCCCTCTGTCTTCGTTCTTTCGGCTCCTGTCGAGATTGTCTCATTTTCTGAATATAAAGACCGTCATTTTCGGGAGAGGACGGGATCTTCCGGGAATCCAAACTTAATGCATAGATTAGTTCGGATTTTTTGGCATTGTGGCGCGCTGTCCGGGCCTGGAGGGCGGAAAGTGGAGGAACACGAACTGCCCGTTTTGCTAGGTGTTAGTCTTTAATGTTACCAAGTAGTACGTCACTTTTTTGGCGAAAATAATGTTTGTCCAGCAGGATGGAGCAACTTGTCACACAGTTAGGAAAGCAATGAATCTTTTGCAGTATTTCCGGACGTTTAATTTCTCGATTTGGTGATGTCAACTGGCCACCAGGGTCACCGGATTTAACGGCTCCTGACTTTTTGTTTTGGAGATTTTCGGAAAATAGGGCTTATGCTAACAAACCAAATACTGTAGAGCAGCTAAAGAATAATATTACGGAGGCGAAAATATTCCTATCGAAACATACCAAAAAGTAATAGAAATTGTAATCATGAGGGCTAAGGATTGCGCGGCTATTTTTCATACATAATTTCAAATTAAGATGAAAAAAATGGACGTATTTTATTTCATTTCACAAATATTCGAGATACAAACCAGTCAGTTACATACCGGCCATCCTGTATACAGGGTGGCGCATCGGAAACGAAACAGACGCATTTACTGGCAGCTCAGTTTTTTTTTGAAAATATATATTCAATACGTTTGGAACAGTTTACTAGAAAGTGTGATTGATGCTACGTCAGTAAATAGCTTCAAAGTGTACTATGATAGATGGAACAGTGAACAAACTTTGTAACCATGTACTTTTTGTTTTTATTTCACGTATTTTACGCTACTTATCCGTAGACTATGCTTGCCTTTTGGACATGAGCTTCCAGTATCGTAGTCTGCTGATTTCTATTTCTTAATAACAATAATATCATTAGAGACAAAGCTATCGCTTTCCTCTACGAAACAAATTTCACGAACATCCAACTCGTTCTTGTCAAATTTTACGAGTGTCTATTCTTGCTGCTCTCACATTCAAAAATAACCCTTTCCCTCCTGTCGCAGTAGTTTTCAGCACGTGCTGGCGCGCGTGTGGTCTTCACGCTATTCGATGATTGAGTGCTGTCAAAAAATCATCGTTCTGTGACACTAAATTGCCCGGTTGCCGAACCGTCAAACTCGTTGCGTGATTTAAGGATGTGATTTAAGGCGGCTTCTGGCGGTACTTGGGCGTTTTCGGGTGTAGAAGACCTGCTACATAGATGCATTGAGGTTTTAAATAGATTTTCGAAATGGTGTTCGCATTTCTTATGTAATAAATGCAATCTGACAGCTGCGGTTGGTGGGACTTTCCTCAAGGAATATAGAGTGTGATTCACAAGTCGTGACCAAAAATGAAACATCATACACATACCCGCATTTTAAGGGCGGTCTTATATGTAACATTTTTTCCTTGAGGGCTTCATTAAGAAGATACGAGGTGTTGGAGTTTAAAAATAATATCATTTTTTTAATATCTCCACCCTCGAGGAAAAAATGTTACATAGAAGACCCCCCTTGAAATGCGGTCTTGTGTATGATGTGAATCACCCTGGATCTTGGAAAATGAGCAGTTTTTTCTAGGAAAATATACACCAAAGACTTAAGATTACCGAGATGCTAGACGCAAGATAAGTCAAACCAAATCCGACTCTTCGTCTCGATCAGATCAAACGTGAACACGTACGATCAATCCAGGCACTATACGCGTTGGAAAACAAAACCTCTACACATCGGTTTTAAAAAACAAAAAATACTGGCGCATTCATACAGTATGGAGTTG